TTTTTATTAATTATTTTATAGATAGATAGATAGATAGATAGATTTTACATCATTTGTCATTTTTGTAGACCAATCCATGTTTAATGTATAAGTTCTCTATGATCTGCAGAAAACAATGTATTCACCTACTAATAGCATTGGCTTTGAGGCATTTTCAGAAGTTTAAGGAGCAGCAAAATAGGTTGAGCAGGGTCTATGTCTCATGGCTCCTCCTGAAAGATGAAGATCATCAGTTAGTGAAGAAAATAAAGTATGTTTAAACAGCCACAGAATTAATATGTCACAAAATTTTTCAAATAAATATAAACATAATGCTTTGGGACTGAAAAATGAGAAGATAGCCATTTAGAATGCTCTATTCATCACACACTTAAAAGAGCATAGAAAAATACTGACCTAGAAAAAAATATTAGCTGACTTTATATGCATAAAATAGAAATGAATCTTTATTGCCTATGAGGAACGACCTAGAAAGGCTGCAGAGGTGAGAGTACCTTATTAACTTTGGCAACTCACTTTCATGGATTCTCACTTGTAGAGTGGAACATTTTCATGTTGGTGTGTAGAGATTCAATAGGAAAAAAATGTAATACGTTAAGACCCAACTCTCAACTCCTTAATTAGAGTCCACAGAATGATGTTCTTGGTAAGATTATACCAAATAAATAATAACATACTAAATAGAAGTCAGAGGGAAAGTAGTGGAACAACAATGTAGTGAGACATTTGCTTTGAAAATATCAAAAACTGCCACTGACAGCAGATGAAAAGTTCTCATCTATGAATGAAGACTTTGAGTCAAAATGAAATTGCAGCAGGGACAGGCTGGGGAGAGTGCCCTGGAGAGTAACTCTGCTTCTCATTCTCCCAGCCCAAGCTTTTATTAAAGATATGAACAAGGGACAAGGAAATAGCATGCAAATGTGCTTATACTTATACAAAGTGAAAAGTTACTGCTGGAACAAATTTTTCTAGTTAGTATGGATCATGTACACAGTCAGTACACCCTCAGAGAAGTTGCGTCAATTCTGGTAAGTTCTGTTTGCAGAACTTCTAAACTCTTGTAACTCCATGTACAGAGTAAACGGGGCTCTCAGAAGACTCTGGTTCCCCTTAGAGTGGCAGGCTGCCAACAAAAACAAGGAGTTAATCATCTAACATCCATAATTCTCAATAGCTTCTTCATTGGTCTTCTTATTTTCATCTGCCCCTAACACAGATCTGTATTTCTCACTGCTTTTATAGTGCTGATACTTAAGATACTAGAAGTCAATACCACTACTTTTCTATGAACTCAGTAATTCACAGAACCTAAAAATAATCTCATCTGATAGGCTGTGAAACACTTTGTGCTTGATACATCCATCATTTGTCCTTTATTTCCAAGCACCCCAAGGGGTGTGTGTGTGTGTGTATGTGTGTGTGTGTTCCAGAGTGAATTAATTCTTATTTCAGAGATGATGTTCCTTTACTTACTTGATTTTGAAATTGATGTTATTTAAATCCAGATTCACTCCCACAATTTTCTGCTTTCCAGGACAAAGAACAACTTCATTCTAAAATCACCTCTGGAAAAAAAAATCACCTCTCATTTCCCCAGAAAACTTTCTTTTGGAAATCTACAAATATTTATATGATCTCATGAACAAAGTAGTCCTGAAGAAAAAAAATCACTTTCCTTATTATTTATACTACAAATTTCTTTTCCTGACTGTGGAGCTCACAATGTATTGTTTTCATTGATCTTTTGCTTACATCACCCACAACCAAAGTTTTTTATCACTCATGCTTGGTGGCAATGGCATCTATGAAGTCCTCTACCATGGAATTCCAAGTTGACAAAAATCCTAACAATTTGGATCAAGAAAGAAAGAAAGCAAGTCTGTACTTAAGGAATAAAACAACAACAACTGAGTTATCAGTCTTAAAACATGTCATAACAGTGTATAACAAATTCCAGATAATGAAAAAAATTAGAGACACAATTTATACAAAATGACATCAAAATAAAATGAAAAGTTGAAATACCTAACACTGATTAAAGAAATAGAATATTTGTTAAAACTTGTTGGAGACCCCAAAGACATGAGGTACTGAAGCAAGGAAAGTCTCAAGGTCATGTCTGGAAGACTGGTCAATATGGGCTGGCCCGTGCTGAGAACATGTTCTTCCTTGGAACAGCAAAACTAAGTTTGATTGAGAAACAGGACTGGGAACCAAACAACCTGATTACACAGAGTCCTTGAGGGTGAATTTGTGCCAGATTAATGCAGAAAACCAAGAGAATAGATCATTGTCTTGTAACTAACCTAAAAGAGAGTGCGGGCTGGCTTGTCTCAATAAAAATGTGTTGCACCTGGCACTCAGGAAGTTTGCACGTGCATAGCCAGGGTCCTGCTTCTCTTACACTCTATTTTGTGTCTGTCAGCTCTTTACTTCTTGGTTCTTTTGGATTCCTTGCCTCAACCCTGCTCACTGGGGCTGATCTCTGGCAAGTGGCACCTGAACAGGGAACTGAGGGAGGATAAGATCTGCCCACGTGGGGGTAAACGTATGGGAAAAGACTCTATTGCTGATTCCTCAGATCTGGGAAAACTTCGGAACTCACAGGGTAACAATGGGATGAAGTGAAATGTTTAAATAGCTTGGTAAAAGGACTACAGACCTGGAGTATGTGACGTTTTCAGTAAAATCTTTCCTATCTAATTTTCTTTCAGATCAGTCTGGTAAAAAGCCCACAGACCCCGAGCCTGTGAAATTTTCAGTTGAGTGTGTCCTTTCCCTCTTAGAAACATGGGTAACAACCTCCCCTTGTCTCATTCTGCACATTATGTCTCACCTTTCAAGTACCTGCTCAAACCTGAAATGAGCTTCAGTTACTACTTGGTAAAATTACTTTCTTGAGTTCTGGAAACCTGTCCTTGGTTTCAGACGAGGGGTTTCTGGATATTGAAACTTGGGACAGAGTTGGGGATATTTTAAAAAAGTGTCATCAAGAAGGTGTGCAACTCACTGTGGCTGGCTGGTAGGGGCTGCCCCTGTCTCAACAAGCAGTTGCCTGGACATTTTTCTCCAGTGTTGAGATCATTGGTATGTCTCTGCTGTCTTCCAGCTGTAGGGGAACTGGACTCTCCCTTTGTCCACCTTGAGACTTTCCTTGCTTCAGCACTTTATGCCTTAGGGGGTGTCCAACAAAAACTATTAAAACTTGCAATTGCATCTTTGTTAAAACTTAGTCGCAAAGAAACTGGTAGCTCTGATGCACACGACAGAGAATAGTTCTAAATACTTAAGCAATAAAGACCACCGATCTTCTACAAACTCTTCTAGATAATTTCAAGCATCTCAACAATTTCCATTTCATTGCATGAGGCCATGATAATTTTACAAGCAAAATTAAACAGTGACATTAAAACGAAGAAAAATTTCACAAAAATTTCTTTTCTAAATCAACTAATATAAAACAAAATAAAGTAATACAGAAAGAATAAAACATTGTGACCAAAATGGGCTAATCTGGGATTAAAAGTTTTCCTAAATATTTGGCAAAAGACAGTATAATTCAACAAATGTCAGCATCAAAAAGAAAAATATTATGACAATTCAATGGTTACAGAAAACCATTTGGTAAAAGTATACATCAATTCATGATAGTTAGAAAAACTTTACCAACTGAAAATGGGCACTTATTGTGCAAGTTGAAAGTACAGAATTCACAAAAACAGAGGCTTTCTTTTTCTGTGATTGCCTGAAGTAAGCAGGTAGAAAAGGATGTGAAGGGGATTAAAGGACAAAAATTTCCAGTTCAGATGAATAAAATCTAATTCCTCTAGATCTCATGGATAGCATGGTGACTATAACTAAAAATACAGTATTACATATAAGGTGATAATTTACGAGGTCTTAAAAGTCCTGACCACATATTAAAAAAGAATTATATAAAGATGATCTTTTTGTGAAACCACTTCACTGTGTTTAACTAAATCAAGTAATCACCTTATATATCTTGCTGCATTTATTATAATTGCTCATATCTCAATAGTTATAAAAACCACACCATTTAGAAATTCACTTAAGTGAAATGCTCAAAATAAGCAAATATATAAGGCAGAAAGTAGATTAAAGTTGGGGAAGTTGCAAAAATACAATTTCATCCCAGCAGAAAGGTTATCTGCAGTGATGAAATGTTCTAAACTTTTTCAACATGGTTACACAATAGTGTGCATGTAATTTGAGCCATTGCATTGGACACTTGAAATGTGGCAATTGTGTGATACGTTATTTACACAACAGTGCTTTTATTTTAAAAATCACTTGAACCACCATATCCAAAAATATCCACAACAGATGTATAACAGAGTTACATTTCTAATTCCTCTTCAGGAGAGTATAGAAACAGTCACCTCTCACTAGTTCATGACACTCTTCTTAAACGTATAGTATTATCATCTCAGAAATACGGCTTTCACAATCAAGGTTATCACCTCTTAGCTGAGTGATAGCATTTATAATCTATTCAAACGGACATTAAAAATATTTGTACACAAAAAGCATCTCTCTTTTGGGCCTCTCTGGTGGTGAAAGGGGTTAAGCACAGCACTGTGAAACTATCCTCAGTGACTGCAGCACGACTTTGATCCATGGCCGGCCTGGGAGCTACCCACATGGCACAGCAGACCTCTCCTGTCTTGCCCATTGGTCCCCCAGCAGTGTATTTCAGTAGATCTGCCTGTTCTGTTCTCTGCTCTGTCTCTGGTGGATCCTCTTACGCCCTGCACCTCTGGCCTACACCTCAGTCTCGTATGCATAAATAAATAAATCTTTTAAAACAAGCATCTACCTTTTCATTTCCACATCCAAATGCTATGAACAGTTCATGTAATGGGTTGGCTTGAGGTCTAGCCGTTAAATTTTAACTTCCTGATTGATATTTTTCTGAAAAAAAAAAAAATGTGTAATTGCAGAAAGGATAATTGAAAGGAACACTGCATTCTACCAAGATGTCTGTGAAATGGACTTCAGCTCTTCTGCTATTTCAGCTGAGTTGTTACTTTAGCTGTGGGAGTTGTGGAAAGGTGCTGGTGTGGCCCTCGGAGTATAGTCATTGGATGAATATGAAGACAATCTTGGATGAACTTGTTGAAAGAGGTCACGAAGTGGTTGTTCTGACCCCTTCAAATTCCATTTTTTTGGATCTCAGCAAACCATCTGCCATTAAATTTGAGATTTTTCCTGTAACTTGGAAAAAAGAGGATTTTGAGTTTTATATCATGCAGCTTCTTAATAAATTGACATATGATACAGAAAATGACAGTCTTTGGATATATTTTCAAAAAATACAAGAATTCTTTCAGAAATGTTTTGATATAGCTGAAATTCAAGGTAAAGATATATTTTTAAACAAGACTCTATTGGCAAAACTCCAAGAACCAAGATTTGATCTCCTTCTTGCTGATGCTATGGCATTTGGTGGTGACCTGCTGGCAGAGATGCTTAAAATACCTTTTGTGCACATTATCCGCTTCATGCCTGGAGATTTGTTTTCAAGGTATGGTGGACAACTTCCACTCCCACCATCCTATGTACCTGCTGTTTTCTCAAAATTGAGTGATCAAATGACTTTCATGGAGAGAGTGGAAAATATGATATATGTGCTCTACTTTGACTTTCAGTTTGAAAGAGTCACTGAAAAGTGGACTCAGTTTTATAGTGAAGTCCTGGGTAAGTAATGTTATTGGTTGATAGGGTGATATCTTAATTTTCCTTGTCTGTTGGAAGGTGAGATTGTGAAAATATAAAGTAAAAATTTTTTACAAGTGAAGTGATGAAATGGTAACATAAAATGAGCTCTCAATCTCACAACTATTATGGAAAGGCTAATTTGCATCATTGCATAGAACTCTGTGATCCATTATCAGTAAGGACAATGCACAGTGTAACAAATCACAAAGGAAAAACTGAGGATCTCTTGAGGCAGTTACATATCCAGTCTAGATTATTTGCTTGCAATAGTCTTTCTTTTAAACAAGAATTTTGTTAATTCAATATGGTCTAATACTTTGCCGAAGGTTATTTTGCCCTTGTACACAAAAATTTTAGATACAGAGCATTATCAAGTAGAGATTTGCCTTATAAACTCTGCCACCGAACATGTACTGACTCCCCAATTATCAACATTCTCTACCACAGGCATATATTTGTAAAAGTTGAACTATATTCACACTCACTATTATCCAAAGCCCATAATTTATGTTCAAATTCATTCTTAGTGTTATATACTGTATGTGTTTTGAAAATACATAATGACACTTATTCAACATTATTATGCAGTGTAATTTTATTGCCCTAAAAAGTATCTGTGCTGTCCCAGAAATTCTCTGTGCTAAATTCATCCAACATGATTAATTTACTATTCTTGTTTTCTATCTTTCAAGGTAGAAAGATATTTTCATTAACTAGCTTGTTCTAAGTAGATTGTAAATTGGAATATTACCTATTTCTAGCAAGACTGTCTCTTGGAGCATTAAAGAAATTTTTTCCACTTGTTTATCCTCAGTTTCCTTATTTAAAAATTAGATCATTTTATAACATTTCCTGAAAGATTTTTTTCCAATAGAGAGAGAGTGGCTCTACCCCAGACTTATCGAATTATAACCAAAGTTTCTGAATCTTACCCTAAGTACTTACAAATCATCTTGCCAAGGTCTCAGATGTTGTTGATGAATAGAAATATTAGTCTATATTTATGAGATTTATATCTCCCAATAGAGACAACATACAAAACTAAACTAAAACAAATCTTTAAAATCTGACTGCAGAATTGAGCCTACTAGGAGAAAAGTGAGATTGTAGCAAAGCTGGGAGGAGGCCAAAGGAAGTGTGGTGAGGAACTATGGGTACTTTGGTGTTGGACCTGGTGTGTTAACATACACCTGAAGAGGTGTGAACCTGTGCTCCTAAATCATATAAGGTGTTGTAGTCGAGTACTTCCTCAATACATAAGACAAAACTTGAAGGAGGAAAGAAGGAAGGAGGGAAAATAGGAGGAAGAAAGGAACAAAGGAAGAAAATAGTGATCTAGTAAAAAGAACAAAACCACCAAACTTGGATATTATTCCACTCAGAAGTTCTCATAGCATTATAAAGGCAGGGCTAATCTTAAATGATCGGAAGTGATCTTAGGGGTTCTTACCTGACAATGCATGCAGGATGCTAGTTCTCCAAAAGCCCACTCTCCTGATTCCTCTGCTTCCTCAACCCGATTTGACTCCTCTTCCTGCCTTGTGCCCATTCTCTCCATCCTCCTCTGCAACCTCTTCCTAGCTATGTTCTCCCAGCGGGGCACTCTAAACCCAAAATATGAATTATCATTGCCCAGTGACAGCAGTACGTATGTGGTTATACTTTTTCTACTTTTACAAGTAGACTCACTTTAGCATCTTCCGTTACTTTGAGGCTGCAATAGCGAAGTTGGCAAGAAGAAAACAATTTTATTAAAATATTTTACAGAGGACAACAATAAAGAAATTAAATAAAAATACAGGAGTAAAGGAGATTTTCAGTTAAAAAATTAAACTGTACTTGTTGCATTCTTACTCCTGGCTTTGAAAAACCAATAATTATTAATTTAAAACTGTCAGTTTCCAAAATTCCAATTTTCTAGAGTTTTTGTCATTTTTAAAAAGGTCTAGTCTTGAACACAGATGTACAGATTCTTGAAGTAAATGAATTTGCCATGAAGAAAATTAGGCAAATTGGAGAATATTATTAATGTATACATTTCTGGGGAAGAATAAGTGCTAACTGAGGGAAAATATAAGGAGATTAACTTATAACAACTCTGCCTAGCCCAAGGGTCCAATCTTTATAAAGACTCAAGAATAGGACTCTGGGGTGACACAGAAGAAGAGACAAGCACCAGAAAAAAAGGGGTGTCCCCACAAATGTTAAAAAATGGTATATTTCTCTTTTTGTAATATTAAACTGTTTTTAATTGAGATAAAATTCTTTTAAAATCTATCATTTTAAACTGTACAGTCTAGTGGCATTTAGCACATATGAAATAGTGTGTAACCACTACTGCTTCCTAATTTCTTTTTTTTTTTTCATATGGAGAAAAATTTTTTTTTATTTTCACTAGGTTCTAACAAGCTGTATGCCACAGCAGTATCGTTAGTACCCGCTAACACTGTCACCACTATAGTTTACAGGTATTTTAAATTAACTTTATGGTTGTTGCAAATATCTTGAAATATAATTTTTTTCATCACTTCTTTTAAAATATGTTTACTGAATCTGTCACTGCATTTTGATATAGTCTTATTTATAATAAGAATATGTAAACATACTACATATCTGGTTTTTTTTTTACTGGTTACTACTTTATTTTATATATATGTATTTCTTACATCATTTTTCATTTTTGCACAATGTATGCATTTTCATCTTAGTTATATTCCCCATACAATTGCACCCCCCTTATTTTGACCCCAATCCCTCCTATCCCCTGCTCCTGTAGTGTGTCTCTGGTTTATAGTTGCTTGTTTATTTTGATTTTTTCTTAATTATAGTTATTCTTTTCCCTGGTCCCTAATTTAGGTTTTCTAAACTCCTGCTATGAGTAGACCATCCAGTATTTTTCTTTTTCTTTCTGGCTTATTTGGCTGCACATGATCTCTTCCAGATCCATCCATGTTGCTGCAAATTGCATGAGTTTATCTTTTTTGATTGCTGAGTGATATTCCATTGTGTATATATACCATATCTTCTTGATCCAGTCAACTATTTTTGGGCATCTGGGTTGTTTTCCAAAGCTTAGCTATTGTACATAGTGCTGCTATAAACATAGGGGTGCAGGTGCTCTTTGGAATTGATGTTTCTGTGTCCTTTGGGTAAATACCTAGGAGTGGAATTGCTGGATCATATGGAAGCTCTATGTTTAGTAGGTCAAGAAATCTCCACACAGCTCTCCATAGTGGTTGGACCAGTTTGCACTTCCACCAACAGTGCAGGAGAGTTCCTTTTTCTCCACATCCTCGCCAACATTTGTTGTTGCTAGTTTCTTTAATATGTGCCATTCTCACTGGTGTGAGATGGTATCTCATTGAAGTTTTCATTTTCACTTCCCTGATTATAAGTGATGTTGAACATTTTTCCATATGGCTGTTGGCCATTTGCATTTCCTCTTTTGAGAAGTTTCTTTTTAGCTCTTCTGCCCTTTTTTTGACTGGATTCTTTTCTTTGTTTTTGTTGAGTCTCATCAGCTCTTTGTAGATTTTTGCTATCAGTCCTTTATCACTAGTGTTGTGTGCAAAAATGTTCTCCCAGTCGGTGGGGTTTCTCCTTGTTTAGGTTATTACTCTTTTGCTGTGGAGAAGCTCTTTAATTTGGTATAACCCTAGCTGTTTATCTTTGCCTTCATTATCACTGCTTTGGGTGATGTGTCTGTAAAGATGTCTTTGAGGTGCATGTCATGTAGTGTTTCGCCCATATTTCCTTCTATATATTTTATGGTTTCAGGTCTTATGTCTAGTTCTTTAATCCATTTTGAGTTGGTTTTGTGCATGGTGTTCGGTAGTAGTCAAGTTTCATTCTTTTGCATGTGGTGACCCAGTTTTCCCAGCACCATTCATTGAACAAACTTTCTTTGCTCCAGTGCACATTCTTTGATCCTTTGTCAAAGATTATTTGACCATAAATCTGTGGATGTATTTCTGAGTTTTCTATTCGGTTCCATGGGTCCTTGTGTCTGTCCTGTTTCCAATACCATGCAGTTTTGATTAGTGTGGCTTTGTAGTATAGTTTGAAATCTGGGAGAGTGATGCCTCCATTCCCTACTATTTTTTTTTCAGGAGGGTTTTGGCTATTCAGGGTTTTGCGTGGCTCCATATGAATTTCATCAATATTTGTTCTATTTCTTTGAAGAATGACACTGAAATTTTTATTGGAATAGCATGAATCTGTAGATTGCTTTTAGTAGGATGGCCATTTTGATAATGTTAATTCTTCCAATCCATGAGCAGGGTATGTCTTTCCCTTTCTTTGTGTCTTCTTCTATTTCTTTTAACAGTGTTTCATAATTTTATTTGCATAGGTCCTTTACTTCTTTTGTTAGGTTCATTACCCTAGTATTTATTTTTTTTTGTTTCAATAATCAAAGGTGGTTTTCTTGATTTCTTCTTCTTCAGATTTATTGTTTGTGTATAGGAAGGCTAATGATTTTTGTGTGTTGATTTTGTATCCTGCCACTTTACTAAACTGATTGTTTAGTTGAATTAGTTTTTCTGTGGCATTTTTGGGGTTCTCTATGTATGTTATCATATCATCTGTGAATAGTGATAGTTTGACTTCTTCCTTCACCATTTGGATTCCTTGTATATCTTTCTCTTGTCTTATTGCTCTGGCTAGGAATTCCAGTGCTATATTGAAAAGCAGTGGTGAGAGTGGACATCCTTGTCTTATTCCAGATCTTAATGGAAATGCTTTCAGCTTTTCACCATTGAGAATGATATTGGCTATGGGTTTGCATTCATGATGTTGAGGTATGTTCCTTGTATCCCGAGAATTTCAAGGGCCTTTATCATAAATGGGTGTTGTACTTTGTCGAAAGCTTTCTCAACATCTATTGATATTATCAGATGGTTTTTATATTTCTTTTTGTTGATGTTTTGGATTACATTGATTAATTTTCAGATGTTGAACCATCCTTGTGTCCCTGGCATGAATCCTACTTGGTCATGGTGAATTATCTTATGGATACATTGTTGGATTCTGATAGCAAAAATTTTATTGAGGATTTTTGCACCTGTGTTCATTAGCGTTATTGGCCTGTAGTTTTCTTTTTTTGTGTTGTCCTTCTTTGGTTTTGGTATTAGTGTAATGTTGGCTTCATAGACGTGTTTGGTATTATGCCTTCTTTTGTATGTTGTCTGTTTCTTCCCTCTTGCCATCTTCATTATTTTTTCCTTGTCTTGGATTCTTGGGTGCTTTACTATTATGTGTCTTGCTGTATTTTTCCTTTCATCAGGAAGATTGGTGTTCTTCTTGCTTCTTGTATGTCTATTTCAGCTCCTTCTTCATGTTTGGGAGGTTCTCTTCTATTATTTCCTTGAATATTTTCTCTGTTCCTATGTCTCTCTCCTCTCTTCTGGGATTTCTATAACTCTTATGTTTCCTTTCCTTGTGGAGTCAGAAAATTCCCAAAGTCTTTCTTCAGTCTTTTTTGTTCGTGCTTTTCTTTCCTTTTCTGTTTAGTTTTTATTTCTGTGTCTTCGAGAGTGCTTATTCATTCTTCCATTTCATCTATTCTGTTATCACTGCTTTTCCCAGAGTTCTTTAGCTCTTCCATTAATCCTTTGTACTTCTGCCTTTCCTTCACTTCCCTCTTTAGGGACTCAATTTCATTCTTCTGATTGTTGTTTTCCTTAATGACTTCTGTCAGTTTTTTAATCACGGCACTTTTAAATTCTCTTTCTGAAAGGCTCAGAAGTTCTTCCAAGTAACTATTGTTAAATCTGGTGGGTGGTTTTCTTTTTGTGGTGTGTCTTTTTCCTGAGGAGTTGCTAGGTTGCATGTAGTTTTTCTTCTCCCTGCTAGTTGTTTTCTAATTTGTCCTATGAATTGGGACATTTTGTCGCTGGTACTGGCCTGCATCTTTTTGGTGTTCTCTTTCTGGGATTTCAGAAACTGGTGGTCCAATTGAGTCAAATACTGTTATGCCAGAAGTCCAGTGAGGCAGTGGTACTATGTTAATTGTCACTCTCACAGAATATCTCCTCCTTCTGTGTTTGTTTAATTCCAAAGGTGTGTCCTAAAGTCCCGCAGACTGCCCTGGAGGTGGGATAACTGGATTGCACTCTGGACTCCAACTCCCTGCCAGGGGGGACATGCCTGTGGTGGCTTTCAGCTCACCTCTGGCTGCTGGGGTAACCCTCTCCCATTTCCATGCAGCCTTGGTTGAAGCAAAGGTCCCTATTCTAAAATGGTCAGTTGGACGCACACTTTCCTGCACTGTGGTCTGCCATGGCCGGCCTTGGATGTCCGCTCTGCCTCGGAGCTCAGACTGCTGGCCAGACAGGGCCTGGCATGGGGCTGCTTCTCAGCTCACCTCTGGCTATGTGGGGAGCCTTCTCCCGTTTTCAAGCAGTCTTTATTGAAGCAAAGGTCCCTATTCTAAAATGGTGAGTCTGCTTCCTAATTTCAAAAAATTTTATCAATCCAGAAAACCTCTACCATTTCCCCCTCTGCCATCTTCTTCCTCACTCAATAGATACATGATTCTGGAGTAGGTATATTAAAAAATACAATTAAAAGACACACAATGAGTCAAATCACATCTTTTTTCAAATTTAAGGAAATATTTCAACCTAGTATTTATTATTAATATTCATACTAAATATTATAATGATCTTAACATGAAGCAAATGCAGGTGTATATATAAAGAATCTAGTCATTCTCTAAAAAATCTGTTTTCCTAAGACTAATTATAATAAAGTAAAAATCAAAATCAAGAAGCAACTATAAACTGGAGACACACTGTGGGCGGCGGGGAGGAAGAAGGGAGTAGGGTGGGAATTGTATGGGGACTATAACTTAGATGAAAATGCATACATTGTACAAGAATGAAAAATGATGTAAAAAATATATAAGATAAAATAAAATCAGAAACTAATGAAAAAATAAGAATAAACATCTCTCTCAATTAAACCACTATGATTTTGTCTTTCAAAAAAATCTGTTTTCTTGAATAATCTATTATCAAAGGAATATTTTTCTAAGTGGCAGGAGTTAGACTGAGTACTTGAATGTAAATGAATTTTAATTGTTTAATGACTTGTGTTTAATGATTGCTTGTGACTATGAATGTAGTGATTTGATACTAGAGATGAAAATCTCGATAGCTTTATCCCTATATATAATAGATATAACATTTATAGGTATACACCATATGTTTGTATATTTGTACTATCAAACCACAGACAGTTTTAAACATCTTTGACTATATCATTCCAAACTCCTTTCAGAAAATTGTTTTTCTGGGCCTCTTGGGTGACACAAGGGATTGAATGTCAGCACTATGAGGCTATCTGCAGCCACTGCAGCAGGATTTCGATCCCTGGCCAGGGAGCTACCCACATGGCTCAGTATACTTCTCCTGTCTTTCCCACTGCTTCCCTCAGCAGTATATTTCAATCTACCTGTTCTGTTCCCCACTCTGTCTCTGGTGAATCCTCTCATGCCCTGCACCTCTGGCCTGTACCGCAGTTCTTGTATGCATAAATAAATAAATCTTAAAAAGGAAAATTATTTTTCATATTCAAATATTGAAAATAGTCACATCAAGGGCCTCCCCGGTGGCGCAGCGGTTGAGCGCTGGGTTGCGAAGCTGCCCGCGGCCTCTGCGGCGCCGGTTCAATCCCCGGCTGCTCCCCGGCCACCAGAGGAGGATCCCACATGGTGCGCAGACCCCTCCTGCCACCCGCTGCTCCCCTCAGCAGTGTACTTCAGTCCTTCTGCCTGCTCTGCTCCCCACTCTGGCTCTGGTGAATTCTCTCACCCTCCCGCGCTTCTGACTGTACCCAGTGCATGTATAAACAAAACAAACAAACAAATATAATAAATAAATAAATAAACATGCCTCTATTTAAAAAAAAAAAAAAAAAAAAAAAAAAAGAAAATAGTCACATCAAAATATTCTCATTTCCTCAATCATTTGTTTCTTTTCTCCCTTCAGGAAGACCTACTACAATATATGAGATAATAGGGAAAGCTGAAATATGGCTCGTTCGAAACTATTGGGATTTTGAGTATCCTCGCCCACTCTTACCAAATTTTGAGTTTATTGGAGGACTCCACTGCAAACCTGCCAAACCCCTACCTAAGGTAACCTACTCCTGTTTCTTTCATTTGCTTTGAGGATCTTCAACAATAAAAAATTCTAGCTTAAAAGGAAAGCATAACCACACACCCCATTTGTACAAAACCTTGGTTAAGTACCATTGCAGATCATGGTTCCCCATATCAGAGCAGACTGACAAATGAGCACAGAGAAAATGTGCAGTACTGAAAATAAAGACCATAAATTCTACATATAGAATAAATACCAAACGAGCTCTGCTACTTATACCTGAAAACACACCATAGTATAAATCTGAAAAGAATTCTGTTAGCATATAGGATGATATTGCTTGTAAAGGAGATAGTTTAAATTTGTATCAGATGTGTATAAATATAATTTTAAAATAAGTACCCTTCACTGAATTATTTTACCATCTCCAAAGACATCCTGTTTGCCTACCTTCTAATTGGCAGTAAATAAAACTCTTATATTAAAGGATTAACTGTATTGTTTTGATTGCAAAATTTAACTGTATTGGGCAACTCTCACAAGGTCTAGAGTATGAGGCAAAATTTCTATTCAGTCTCATCCTACTTCTTCAACTTTATTGAGTTATGTTTGACATATAAAATTGCAAGATATTTAAAATGTGCATCATTGTGAATTTGTATGCATACACATTGTGAAGAAAATGCCTTATGTTATTTGGTACACACGCTATATCACATAATGATGGTTTGTTTTCCTTAAGGACACAAATTCTAATTGCAGCAAATTTCAAATATGAAATACAGTTCTAGAGACTATATATAGTGAATTACATATGATATCCTCCTATCTTACTCATATTTACATAAAGGGTTGTAATCTTAAAGCAATCTTTCCCAATTTCCTCCATCCCTAGCTCCCAGCACCCACATTTCTACTTACTTTCTTTGAGTTTTACCTATTTTTAAATTATACAGGTGAATTATACTATGCTGTATTTCTAGCTATCTTATTTCACTTAACATAATGTCCACGAATCCCATTCATAGTGTCATCATCAGCACACTTTTCTTTCTTTCTCATGACTAAGTAATATTCCACTGTATAAATATATCACACAGTCTCCATCCATTCATTTCTTGACAGACAGGATGTTTCCATATCTTGGTTATTATAAATAACGCTGTGATAAATGTTGGATACAAATCTTTTTTTATAGTCTTCAGATATATACCCAGAGGTGGGATTGTTGCATTATCTGGTAGTTCTATTTATATTTTAAAGCTATCATACAGTTTTCCATATGCCTGTAAAAAGTTATAGTCCCATCAACAAGCACAAAGTAATCCTTTGTTCCACACTGTCTCCAAACTTTGTCTTTTTCCTTTTTTTATGACAGTCTAAGAGGTGGGAGGTGGTATATCATTGTGGCTTTGATTTGCATTTTCATGATAATTATCAAGTGACCTTGAACCCCTTTACAAATACCTGTTGGTCATTTGTTTGCCTTCTTTGGAAAATGTCCATTCAGTCCCTTGGCCAGATTTTATTTTTTGTCAGATTAATTAGTATTTTGCTAAGGAGTTATGAACTTTTTATGTATTGGTTAGTAACACTTAAATTTGCAGTTACTTTTTCTCACTCCATAGGCTGTCATTTAATTTTGTCATTGATCTAACTGTATAAAAGTCTTCCTGTAGTTTTCATGTCTTATCCAAAAATCATTGCCAAGACTAATACCAAGGACTTTTTTTCCTCCCTGACTTTTTATTATTACTGTATAAATGTGCAACATATTTTATATGTTAATTTTGTATCCTAAAACTCAACTGAGGTTATTAACTCTAAGAGTATTTTAGTGGAATCCTTATGTTTTCCATATATATTATTTTGTAGCTAGAATTAGAAAAAATTTTCTCCAACCTCTTTCCTTCACTTCTGTTTCCTTCCCTTCCCATCCATTCTATTCCTTTTCCTTTCCCCTCCCCCCTCCCCCTCCCCCTCCCCCTCCCCCCCCCCCCTCCCCCCTCCCCCCTCCCCCTCCCCCCTCCCCCCTCCCCCCTCCCCTCCTTTCCTCTCCGCCTATATTATATATTTTTATATATTTTTTATATATTTTTCTTTTTATTTATTTATTTGTTTGTTTATTTATACAAGCACTGGGCACAGTCAGACGCGCGGGAGGGTGAGAGAATTCACCAGAGCCAGAGCGGGGAGCAGAGCAGGCAGAAGGACCGAAGTACACTGCTGAGGGGAGCAGCGGGCGGCAGGAGAGGTCTGCGCGCCATGTGGGACCCTCCTCCGGTGGCCGGGGAGCAGCCGGGGATCGAACCGGCGCTGCAGAGGCTGCGGGCAGCTTCGCAACCCAGCGCTCAACCGCTGCACCACCGGGGAGGCCCCTATTATATATTTTTCTTGCCTAAATAATCTGACTGACTATGGATTCATGAAGTATGTTGAATAAAAACGGAATAATGGATATCCTTATCCAAGATCTTAGAGTCATAATTCTTAGCTTTCCAACACTGAGCATTTTATGTTAATGGGAATTTGTCATATACAGTCTTCATTACATCAAAGCCATCTCTGCCCAGGTAATTGAAGGTTTTCATCATGAATATATTAGCTTAAATAAAATGAGACAAATAAAAAATAAGTGTGTTCATTAAAGACTCAAACCTCAGGCCTCAAGTCCAGGAACAGCCTGTGATAGCTCTTGCAAAACTATGCGAGCTTTGATCTTTTCAATGAGCAATTTATACAGTTTTCAGGAGAAACATTCAAGGATCTGGTCAGGTGTCCACTTCAGGTATCTATTAGATGCTGTCTATGTATTGAAAAGAACAAGCAGTGCTGTTAAAATTTGCTTTGTCTATTTAAAGCCATATCTTCTGCGATTAGGGTGTTTTATTTGCCAAGAGATTATTTGCTGGATAGAGAATGGATAGTGATTTTCTTTTTGTCATTGTTCTACTTATCTAAATGTTATCACTGTGGGCATAAGGTCTTTTATTTTAAAAGATTTATTTTTTTATACAAGAACTGGGGTACAGGCCAGATATGCGCAAAGTTGAGAGGATTCACCAGAGACAGAGCGGGGAACAGAACAGGCAGACTGACTGACACATCCTGCTGAGGGGAGCAGTGGGCAGGCAGAAGAGGTCTCCCATGTCATGTGGGCATCTTCCCAGCCCGCCGGGATCAAACCGACGCTGCAGAGGCTGCAGACAGCATCACAGCCCTGATCTCAACCCGCTACACCACCAAGGAGGCCCCAAGCATGAGGTCTTTTTACAACGATGTCAAGAGAATGAGATGAAACAGTCCAATTTAGTGACTAATCTAATACACAGAGCTTGGATCACTCTGCTACTTAGAAGACATCTACTACAACATGATTAAGAAAGCTATGGCTAGTGAGCTAAAGAGACACAACATTGAACACAGATAAATTTAAATGTTGCTATAGGTATTGGAATGGCACATATAACCTAGATACACCATGTGAGTCATAGGAAATTTTAGTGAACATCACATTTTATCTAAAATTGTCGGAAAAGGACCTCCCCCGGTGGTGCAGCGGTTGAGCACAGGGTTGTGAAGCTGCCCCCAGCCTCTGCAGTGCCGGTTTGATCCCCGCCATTGGCCAGGATCCCACATGGAGCACAGACCTCTCCTGAGGCACCCGCTGCTCCCCTCAGCAGTGTCTTTAGTCAGTCTGCCTGTTCTGTTCCCCTCTGTGGCTCTGGTGAATTCTCTCACCCTCTGGCGCTTATGACTGTACCCAGTGCTTGTATAAATAAATAAATAAATAAATAAATAATAAAATATAAAATAAAATTGTCAGAATAGAATCACAGTTATGAGAATTCTGTGGGCAATGTATAGTCTGCGTTGACAAAATTTGGAAAAACTGTATCCTTTGCACATTAATCTGTTCGAAAGAACTTCAAAAAGTATCTTATAATAATTTATTAGAAAATATATTTCATTTTGGAAGGTTTGTCATCTTGAACCGAGAAAAGAAGAAATGATATTTAAAACAGCAGGTACAACAACTTCAAAAAAGATACAAGTATACATGTTAACAAGATATCTAGGAGTTTCTGACCCCTCTGTATATCATTAATTTGGTGAGATTACATTTAACAGTAAGGAATTGCTCCAGTGCTGGAAGTAATTAAACTTACTTTTTTAATTGGAAAGGATTAAGCTACAATCAGAATTGGTCTCAAACAATTTCAGGCAAACAGACTTTGCTGATGATTTATACAGTTGGCAGTCACTTACTCAGGAGGGTGATCAGATCTCTGTCGAAGAAAGTCCTGGAATACTCCTGCCACTTTGATGAATATGCTCCCTGGAAATAGTAGACAGTGAGTATCCTTCACAGCTACTCTCACACAGCAGAAACTAATGGAACACCAATTTTACAATATGAATTAGGGGTAAAAGGTGTTTTACACTTAAGGAAGCCCAGAAATACGGTTACCTCGAAAATAACAATACTAAATGAGGCTCTTCAGACTATTTCAAGGAAATGGCAAATCATTATAGCAGACTCCTGAATATCAGCAATTCTTAATAAACTATTATCAAAAAAAATAGGAAGTGTCTGGAAACATCTGACAGAATTGAAAGTAAGGATTAAAGGCATAGAGACAAAGACAAACTCTTTCCACATGACTAACTTTATCTTATTGTTGTTACTCAGAAAAATAAAATATGGATGACTAACCTAAAATAGGATAAAGAGTTAAAAATGAGTAAGATCCTCCTGTGTGTTCTCCTCCTAGATATTTCTGAAATTATAAATGAAGAGTTTGGAATACATGGTCAAAGAGCACCTCCTCTTCACACTGTGCACTGGTTCTGCTTCATTTCTGGCTATATAATGAAATTAGATTAGAACTTCTCATAAAATTAAAAGTATGATTGACCTATATCCCAGCAATTATACTTATAGGTATACACCAATATAAATTAACATAGGGAATTTGATGATATTTGCACACACACCTTCACTGAAACCATACTCAAGAACAAAAAGGTGGAAGCAAGAACGTTCATCTATGGATGAATCAATAAATACAATGGATATAGATACACTATTGAATGCTATTCATCATTAAAATAGAGGAAATTCCAACCGGCTGAAATGCAAAAATTATGAGTGCTTGCTAACTGAGTTGGGCCACTCACAAAAGGACAAGTATTGTATGGTTCCATTTTTAAAAGGTGTCTAAAATAGCCAAATAAATAGAATCTGCAAGTAGAATGATAGCTGGTAGCAGACTAGTGAAGAGGTAAGTGGAGAATTAATGTTTAATGGTTATAGAAATCCAGTATTGCAAGATGAAACATTTCTGAATATTGGTTGCAACACAAAGGGAATTTACTTAACACCACTGAACTATACTCTTAGAAGTGATTAAGACAGTAAAAGTTAGGTTATACGAATTTTACCACAGGTGCTAATGTAATCATTCCTGGTAAAAGTTGAACTCTATAGTTGTTCATTGTTTTAATATTGTTTGCAATGCTGTTTCTCCTTTTTGATGAACAAATTCTTTCTTCACAGGAAATGGAAGAGTTTGCACAGAGCTCTGGAGAAAATGGTATTGTTGTGTTTTCTCTGGGCTCGATGGTCAGTAACATGCCAGAAGAGAGAGCCAATGTGATTGCATCGGCCCTGGCCCAGATTCCACAAAAGGTTAGATAAAGTCACTTCATGTGGACAGAGCCTCCATGTGTGGGCATTTTGTAAAGGGCTTGATTACAGAAATTTTTTGTAGGATATGTAAACAATCATATAGTTCTATTTTATTTCTTGGACATCACTTCAAACAAAATATACATGGCAGGTACTAAAATGTACAGTGGACTTTTTTGAGTGACAATAATTTGGCATTAACATTGTGATCAAAATAAAATATATTTAAGTGGCGACAGTGCAAGTTTACATTATAAAGGTATTGTGGGAAGATACAGAAATAACCATATACTGCATTGTCGTCTGCTGGTTTTTATTGGAATTCAGAGCTCAAGTACACAATGCAAATGTTATCAGCAAGGAGTTACATTTTAATAATGAAGGCAGAAATTGATAAAGCATGAAGGTAATTATGCAGTGGAGGATTGTGGGGAAGTCAGGCTTTTGAAATGGGTCCATTCAGATTGCTGTTACCATGCTCTTCAGAGAAGTAATGACTAAGGTCTCAGTTTAGTCAGTGGTCTCTAGGTTTGGTAGTGCATTGTTAACATGTTAAAAGTTGCTTTAAAAAATTGGCATCAGCTTGCACTTCCACCAGCAGTGCAGGAGAGTTCCTTTTTCTCCACATCCTCATCAACATTTGTTGTTGCTAGTTTTTTTAATATGTGCCATTCTCACTGGTGTGAGATGGTATCTCATGGTAGTTTTGATTTGCATTTCCCTGATTGTAAGTGATGTTGAACATTTTTTCATATGCCTGTTGGCCATTAGTATTTCCTCTTTGGAGTAATATCCTGGGTTCATGCAGTGCTTAATAACCAGTAATCAAAAAGTAGCTGAATGTACTTACTAAGCAGAAATTAATTATATTATAGTAAATTATCTCTAAACAGAATTATTATTTCTCTTGAGTGCAGAATTACATTGCCTAACCTTTATATAAACTAAATTATGCACATTTTTATTAATGTAACCTTTGGAGCAAATTGAATTAAATAAACTCCCTATTGTGACACTTAAAAAGGAATCAATAGGTTAATGGTACATTGGAATTTTGAGAGTAACTATAATAAATCAGAAAGTAAATTCAAAGTTCCTACTAATTGCTCACATATTTAAACTATATTATATACATCTAAAGTATCTTAATTTTTATAATTATTAATAATATTATTAGTCATTTCCCTATATGTGAAGGGAATCATTGGATTCATACTTGCACGAATATAAAAATTGGTTCACAAATGTGGGTCTAACTATCACACCAGTGTTTTAACATTTCTCAGTTTTAACATCTAATGTAGTGCGTATGAATGGTGTTAAATTTGATAATCTCTGAAAGTCTTTAGAATAAAACACATTATTACTTTGAAAACTCACTATTGGAGTAAGATATATTCTTTGCCCTAACAGGTTCTATGGAAATTCGATGGCAAGAAGCCAGATGCCTTAGGGACAAACACTCGGTTGTATAAATGGCTCCCCCAAAATGACCTCCTTGGTAAGATACTGGAAAACAAACTCTGAAATAAGAGTAAGTTCAACCATTTTGATAATAGTTCAGAAGGAAACAAATTCATGGAACATTTATTATTGAGAATATCATATTTACCTTTCTTGTATTTTTTTCCAGTCATATGGCAGAAAAGATCATGTATAAAAGTTGTCAATTTAATATAATAGTCACATTCCTTATGACTAGAATCAAAGTGTCTTTATTTCAGGTGTAACACTTCTCTGGAGATATTTTTTTTAGTGATACTGTTTCTTTGCTTTCCTCCACCACCAGCTCTTATATCTTCTTGAATTTTTCTACTTCCCCCTACCTTTTAACTAACTCAGAAAAAAATCACTTCTTTTATTGATATTGCCAGTTTTTATAGTATTTTACTTTCTTAAATTGTATGCTATATAGATCTCCAATTACTATCTTTGTCATTATGACTTGTTTTACTACATGTAATGCCCTTGAACTCTCCATTTTTCTGCATTCCAGTATTTCTTCTTTTCTTATAGCTGAGTAGTATTCTATAATGTGAATATACCACTTCTTCTTGAGCCAGTCTTTAATCAATAGATAGTTAGCTTACCCCCATGTCCTAGCTATTGTAAATATTGCTGCAATAAACATTGTAGACAATATGCTTTTTGTATTAACGGTTTTGTATTCTTTATATAGACACCCTTATGTGAGTTTGTTGGGTCATGTAGTATTGTAATTTTTCATTTTTTAAGGTAATTCCAGATTGCTTTTCATCTGGCTGCACAGTTTACATTCCTGCCACTGTTAATTAGACTCATTTTCCTGCCCATCTTCTCCAACACTTCTTTGGGATATTTTTATGTGTATCATCCTCACATCTGTCAGATGATATCTCATATCTCACTTTTCCTCCATATTAAAAGTGATAATGAATACTTTGTTCATGTATGTTTAGCCTTATTGTATATCTTTCTTTGTGAATTGCTAGGCAGATCTGCTGCCTAGTTATTAATTGGTCCATTTGTTTTATTTCATTGTTGGATTTTTAAAAATATATTTTGGAATATAACCCCCCGTAAGTTATGTGACATGTAGTATCTACCCTAACGAGTCTTTTTAATCTACACTTTTTTTCATTCACAACAAAAAATCTTTTTGATTTGAGGCAATCCCAATTGTCTATTTTTGCTTTTATTTTACTTGCCATAGGGGTCGTCTCCAAAAACATCTTTATGTAATTCATGTCATGGAACAAATCACCAATATTTACAACTATATCTGTAATCTATTGTGGAAGCCATTATATCTTGATCTTTAATGCATTTTTGGTGATTAAAATAAGACAGTGATTCAACATTATTCATTTACAAGTGACCTTAAGCTTTCCCAGCACCACTTATTTATTTTTTTATAAAACTTTTTTATTGACTTACATTGTTGTTTACTTTTGTACAGCATTTGTTTTCTCCCCTCGTGTGTAGTCAACATCAATCTCCCACCACTACATCACCATGTACCAACGCCATAGTCCCTTATATCCTAGTGATATTTTGAACCAGCTCCTCCCCCCTCCCTTGTTATATGCCTCAGATCCAGTTTGCCTGCAGGTTGTGTCTCTCTTTTTTTTTGACCCTTTGTTCAGTTTCCCTATATTCCTCCTATAAGTGAAACCATGTGATATTTTTCTTTTTCCTCTGACTTATTTCACTGAGCATAACTTCTAGTTCTGGTCATGTTGCTGTGAGTGGCATAAGTTTATCTTTTTTGATTGACAAATAGTATTTCATTGTGTATATATACCTATATATACCAGATCTTCTTGATCTAGAAGATCTTTGGGCATTTAGGTTGTTGCCATATCCTAGCTATTGTATACAATGCTGTAGTAAAATAGGAGCACAAGTTTTCTTTCAATTTAATATTTTTGCGTTTTAATTTTCAAGTTTGGGAAATTCTCTTCAATCGTTTCTTTGAATAAGTTCTCAGTCCTTTGTCTCTTTCTTCATCTTCTGGGATTCCAATGACTCATATACCCTTTCCTCATGCTGTCAGATATCTAATAGTGTTTCTTCATCCTTTTCCCCTTGTATCTACTTCCTTTTCTTTTTTGGTTCTTTTTATATCTGTATCTTCAAACACACTGATTCATTCTTCCATTTCATCTGTTCTGGTTTTTTTTTTTTTTTTGTGGCTTTTTCCAGAACTTTTTAATTCCTCCATTGATCTTTTAACATACTGCAATTCCTCTATTATCATATTTAAAGATTCATTCTCATTCTTTAGTTTTTTGATTGTGTTTTTCATTGCATTCTGTTCTTTTTCAGCTTTTTTACTTTTTTAGTTAAGATAATTCTGAATACTTTATCTGCCAGGCTGAGATTCTTTCATGTTAGTGTCATTAGGTTCTGGCAGCTGATTTTCTTTCTGTGATGTATAGTTCACGGTACAGCTTGTTTGACTATTTACGTCTTTCTTCTTTTTTAAAGATTTATTTTTATTTATTGATGCATACAAGAACTGATGTATAAGCCAGCAGTGTGGAAAGTGAGATGATTCGCCAGAGACAGAGTGGGGAGCAGAGCAGGCAGTTCTACTGAAATACACTGCTGAGGGGAGCAGTGGTCAAGACAGGAGAAGTCTGCAGTGCCATGTGGTTAACTTCATGGTCAGGGATAGAACTCATGCTGCAGTGGCTGGCCATAATTTGATAGCAGTGAGACTTTAATCCCAGTGCCTCCCTATATCTTTCTTTCTCCTAGTTGTTTCCTTTCAGGTAGGCTCAATGTGTGACCCACTATGCACTTGCTCAGCACCATTTATTAAAGAGACTTTTCTTTCCCTATTGTATGCTTATGATGGCATATCATAAATTATGTATTGCTACATATGCAAATTGAATTCTGCACATTGGATTCTGTTTTATTAATGTATTTACCCTTAGTTATGCCAACACCAGATTGTTTCTAGTAAGGTAGCAACAGCAAATTAATGAATTCATTGCAGTACTGGATTAAAATTAATATATGTAAGGCCTGCACTTATAAAGTACATAGCAGAAAACATTGATCATATATTTCATGCATCAATGATAAAGGTTTTTATGAGAACCAATACCTATAGCAAGGGAAATAAAATAAAATTTTAAAAACCAATTGATATTACCCTAAATTAAAAATCTTTTAAATCGTGAAAGCAAAGATAAATAGATTAAAAAGACATGCTACTGAGTAGGAGAAAATATTTACCCATTAAATAGCTCAGAATGGGTTAATTTCCAAGATATACCAAAAAACTCACTAACTCAAAATAGAAAAACAAAATAATAACAAATAGACAGCATATCTGAGCAAACAATTCACCCAGACAGATAAAGCAACCATAAAAAATGTTCATTATCACTTTTAATACTGAGGTGCAGGTTAACCACAATGACATATCATTTGATACTTGTGAGAAGGTAAAGGACCCCAACAACTAGTGGTGGAGAGGATATGGAGGAACAGGAGCCCTATTGACTGTTAGTAGGAATGTAGACTGGTGCAACCATTGTGGAAAGCAATCTGACTCTACCTTAAAACCAAAAAGTAGAAATACTGTTTGACCCAGCCATCATACTCTTGGATATCTATCCAAAGAACGTGAAACCATTAACTCAAGAAATCATATGCTCAACAGTGTTTATTGCTTATTACTTACTAAATGTAGGACTGGGAAACACCCTGAAGACAACTGACAGAAGATTGGATTTCAATGAGTGGTATATCCACACCATGGAATAGTAGTCAGACATAAGGAAAGATCAAATGCCAGCACTTACAGCAAAATGGAAGGAACTCTAAGGAATTATTTATAGAAAAACAAGTCAAAATAACAAAGACAAATATTGGCTTACTGAAGACACCACGGACCAGGCAAAATATTTTAAAAACTGGCAGACACTATGAACTAAATGAAGTTTCAAAAGTTATAAGGAATCAGAAAGTAGAGCGAGTAAAGGGATTTAAAGGTATGGTGATGGGGAAAAATAATCTTAAGTACTTCTTGCTTGAAATAAGAAAGTTATTAATAAATTTTATGTGAATAATAATCTGTTATCTAGAAAACAGTGCCACTTTAAGTGTTTTCTGTTGTTCTACTCTCATTTTATTCCTCAGAATTATATTTAATTTCTTGAAATCCATCCAATTTTAGGTCATCCCAAAACCAAGGCTTTTATAACCCATGGTGGCTCCAACGGCATCTATGAGGCAATCTACCATGGCGTCCCGATGGTGGGCATTCCCCTGTTTTTGGATCAACCTGATAACATTGCTCATATGACACACAAGGGAGCAGCTGTTGCACTGGACTTACGAAAAATGACAAGCACAGATTTGCTGAATGCATTAAAGACTGTTATTAATGACCCCTCGTGAGTATCAAAATCTTTCTCAATAATGTGAGCAGATTATTTTCTCAACAGTATGAGCTTCTTCTTTCTTTTGATAATTATGTAACTATTAACATGTTTTAAACTATCAAATCTGTTTTCATTTTCAATCAGACATTAATTTCAATGTTTCATTTTGACCCTGCTTGGGAAATGGGTATCTCTTATAAAACATTGTTTTTATATGAGCAAAGGCAAAAACTATATAGGTAATTGAAGAAAGTATACTATTTATGTGGAGAAAAAGGAACTCTTCTGCACTGTTGGTGGGAGTGCAAACTGGTCCAACCACTATGGAGAGCTGTGTGGAGATTTCTGGACCTACTAAACATAGAGCTTCCACAGGATCCAGCAATTCCACTCCTAGGTATTTACCCAAAGGACACAGAAACATCAATTCCAAAGAACACCTGCACCCTATGTTTATAGTAGCACTATTTACAATAGCTAAGCTTTGGAAACAGCCCAAATGCCCAAAAATAGATGACTGGATCAAGAAGATGTGGTACATATATACCATGGAATATTACTCAGCATTCAAAAAAGATAAACACATGCAATTTGCAGCAACATGGATGGCGCTGGAAGGGATCATGCTCAGTGAAATAAGCCAAAAAGAAAAAGAAAAATACCGGATGGTCTCACTCATAGCAGGAATCTAGAATACTTAAATAAAGGACCAGGAAAATGAATAACTATAAGAAAGTGAAAATCAAAATCAACAAAAACTATGAACCAGAGATACTTTTTGGGGGGTGGGGGCGGGAGGGGAGGGATTGGGGTCAGAATGGGGGGATTGCAATTGTATGGGGAATATAAAAATAAAATTTATTAATTAAAAAAAAAAAATAAAATAAAATAAAATAAAAAATAAATAAAAGTTTATAGAAACCACAGGGGAAAAAATGAAGAGTTTGAAGTTATATAAAATATTTAAGTCAGTGCCAAAAATTTCAGAAAGTATAAGCCTTTTGATCAAAAATTAATTTTTGTTATTATTTTAACAGATTTCATAAATAGGCAAATTATATATAATTCAATGTTTTACATATAAATCTCAAGTAAATATAGTATATTCAGTTATTAAACTATCAGTAAAATTCAAATATAGGACATTTTTATCCACCTAAAAGAATTCTTATATACTTTAGAAGTCAGTCTTCATTTCTCTCTTCTTATACTACCATTATTCTATTTTCTGGCCCTATGAATTGCCATAATCTGAATTTTTCATACAACAGAATCATTTCAATCAATTGGTAAAGTGCAACTGGTCTCTTTTTCCTGCCATAAAATACTTTAGTTTTACCCACATGGTAGTCTTGAATTTCTGAATAATATTCTATGGTACAACTATTTGCACACTTATTCATAAATATTTTTTTGTTTTTATATTAGGCTATTATGAAAATTGTTCTACATGTTTTTGTGTGAACATGTTTTCATTTCCTTTGAGTAGAATAGATATAGCATGTGATAATTTTATAAGGAACTTCCAAACTGATGCGAGAAGTTTACCATTTTACATCCCCACCATCTTGTTTGAGAGTTCTGCATAGTGTTGTCATTAGTTGGTATTACTTCACTTTCTCTTATTCACCTTAGTGAGTGAGAAAGTGGTCTTACATTGTGGTATTGATTTGTACCTCCCTTACTCCCATTATTTTTTTATTTTACTGATTTATTTATTTATATATATTTTACATCATTGCTCATTTTTTTAACAAGGTTTGCTTTCTTTTCTCAGATGTAAACCCCATAGAATTTCCACCACCAGTTCACCCATGCACCATCACCACAGTCCCTTGTGCTTTTCCCACCCTCATTTTGATCCATCTGTCTCCCCCTACCCTGCAGAATGTCTCTGATTTATAGCTGTCTGTTCATTTTTGTTTTGCTATGTTGTGTTTTTTATTGTTATTATTATTTCCCCTGATCTCTTATTTGGCTCCCCTATATTCCTGCACTTGATCTTAGCCAAAAGGCCAAGAAGCAATCCCCCACATATTCCTCTGACAAGGGAAACCATCCAACATTTTTTTCCTTCTGACTTATTTCACTGAGCATAATCCCTTCTAGCTCCATCCACACTGCTGCAAATGGCATTAGTTTATCTTTTTTGATTGCTGAACAGTATTCCATTGTGATATATACCACAAGTTATTGAATGTCTTCTCATATTTAAGTAGGCTAAAGATATATCTTCTTTTGAAAAATGTCTATTCCAATACTTAGACAATTTATAAATTTTGTTGTCATCTTACTACTGGGCATAAAGTATTATTCATTATATTTATTATTATATTATAGAGACAAATATATTAAAAGATGTATGATTTACAAATAATCTCAATTCTGGTGAGTTGATTTTTTTTTTCCTTTCTGAATGTGTCCTTGAAAACATTAAAGATCTCGTATATGATAAGGATGATACTGTATTTTTCCATACCCCACAGGAAAATAATGTGCTAGATTTTGTGGTGCTTAGCATGGTGCCCATCAATTCAGTTTTCATTATTACCATATGGACTATATTGTGGAACATTTGAAAATGTATTAGCTACAATAAAATTGAATTGAAAAATACTTGGAGGGGGCAAGAGACGATATAAAAAGAAATATAAAGCACTTTAAAAAATAAAAAAGAAAATGTAGAATACAATTTTAAATGTAACTATGCCAGTGCTTGTGTCAAATCTAAAAGACCAAATTTTTAAAAACTATCATTGTCACACAGCAATTTAAAAAATTAGCTCTCTAATAGCTATAGACATGCTTATAAAGAAGTATACAAAAGCTTGTAGGCACTTAGGTAGTCAAATATCTATTTCAAAATAAGCATAGATACTGCATTTATATTATTATCAGACATACCAGAAGAACTACCAAAATAAAGATTAATATTTCACAATGATAAGTGGATCAATCCTTCAAAACAATGCAAATCATCACTGATAATATGTAATAATAAAACTTCAAAATAATGAAAACAAATGTAGGCCAAAAAAACAAAACGTACAAACCATAGGAATAAAAGGCAGTTTTAAAATATTTTCAATAAAATAGAAAATTATGTCAGAAAATGGATTAGTATCTTACAGTTTTGAAAAAAATTATAAATATAACAAATTGTATGTAAAGTAACAATAGAGAATATACTTTTTTAAAAGATTGAAACAGTTGCTGGAATTGATGATGTCCAAGGTAATAAGATAACTCAGAAAATTAGATACATATATATGTAAAGAGTATATTATGTAGCATTTCTGGATTTTCTTAGAAATCACTAAAAGGAAAATATATATATATATATATATATATATATATATATATATATATATATATATATATATATTTTGGAAATCAAGCCATGAAGTAACAAAGTAACATAATCATACATCTAACTTCTCAGCAATTTCACTTCATGATATGTCTTCAACAGAAATGTTTGTATAGATATATGTATTTGTGTGTATATATGTGTGTATTTATTTATATGTTAAGCTAAAGACATATATGAGATATTTATTAAAACATTGATAGTAATGTTTACAATACAAATGCCACTGATCATAAAATGAAAAAAAAAATGTGTTACTATCATATGATAGAGAAAAAGGAATTAACCAACAATTGATATATAACAGATAAAAACAAATATGTACATATAATATGATTATAATACATATATAGAAAACTAACTTAAAGTGTAAAAAGATAGGCCAGTAGTTGATTCAAGAAGGGAGCAGTGACTCAAGGATCCAGGAAGGGATTAGTGACACAAAAGTTACACTCACAGGTAGTGTGTGGTATCCTAACTCAGTATCATGGTAATAGTTACATGGGTGTTTTGACTTCATAATATAATTTATAATAATTTTCTAAATTGGAGATTTGAGCTGCTCACTTAAGATATATGCATCCTTACTATGTATTCATCCTTAAATGCTTAGGATAGAAATTATAATGCCTTTTTAAATTGTAGGACACAAGTAGCAAAATAAACAAAAAAAAAAAAAAAAGAAAGAAAGGAATAGCAGTGCTCTCATGTTAAGGCCAGCAAAAGCATTTTTAATATGTAACAAGAAGCTGAGGACTCATTCAAAAGGTAGAGGCAAGCTTCCAGGTGTTACTAGAAGAGAGGTTTAGGTGAAAGAAGGGGAACCAAGTGCAAAGGAGCTGCTGTAAGATGTATTAGGCAATTTCAATGAACATCTAGAAAACCAACCTGTCTATGCCCGAGTGTACATGAAGCAAAGTAATAAAAGAAATCATTTGGTATGAACATGCAAAATACTGCAGTCCAAACTATCATAGTTGGTTTTAATGTGATGAGAATCAAATGGAAATGTTGAGGACAGTGTGTTATAATATGAAGCTTATTTCAGGAATTGTTAGGACTACAGAATGGAAAATACAGAGTAAAAAAGAGAAGAGTGAAAGCAAATGAACCATTGAGTGATTTTACCCATGATATCATAAATCTATAAATGTTTTGTAAGCATCATTCAAAAAAAGTTAATATTTACAATCTATTTACAATTGCTATCTTCAATCATGCCATTTCTAGCCGAAAAAACTTAACATCACACCTTATACTCAATTTCACTTTTAAAATATTTGTCATTTAGAAAAATTCAATTAAAATGTCAAACACTGAATATCCAAATAAAATATAATATTTCATCTGAAAATCCATGACATTTTGAATTATATGCATGACATTTTAAAACACTTTCAGTAAATGATATGCTTAGGCAAATTAGCTTCCTTCCATTATCAATAAGTTTGATTTCTCCTTAGATACAAAGAAAATGCTATGAAATTATCAAGGATACATCACGATCGGCCAATGAAGCCTCTGGATCGAGCTGTCTTCTGGATCGAGTTTGTCATGCGTAATAAGGGAGCCAAGCACCTGCGGCCAGCCTCCCATCACCTCACCTGGGTCCAGTACCACTCATTGGATGTGATCGGGTTCCTGCTGGCCTGTGTGGCATCTGCTGTGTATATCACAGCAAAATGTTTTCTGTTCTGTTGGCGGAAAGTGATCAAAACCAGAAAGGACAAAAGAGAGTAGCTGGTCCTGAGTCCTGAGGCTGCTATGTCTCAGAGATGGGATTCCTTAAATTTGTTGCAGAAGAAGTTGTGGTATAAGGGTCCTTTTCTTCCATGACACTTGCTTCTTACAATTTCACTTCTCATCAAGACTTGTTTCCAAGAGATTTATTACCCAATTAAGAGTTACAGATATGCCATTCAAAAGAGAGAGTAACTGGGAAGTACAAAACAAAAATAAAGCTGTATTCATAGAAAATGAACATTATTATTCTAATTCAAAAATTGAACCAAGAATTACTGGAACGATTAATTTTCAAGCATTGTTCTTAGACACGGGAACACAGATTCTATAGAAAATATCATTTTTTGTGTGAGAATAGAAAATTTAACTTAATTTGGTACAGAGAGTTGTAGTTTTGAATTTTGCTATAGAATCATTTAAATTGTTAGAATTGTGAAAAAGATTTACTCTTCAATTTATTTTTCAGGGACACCTAACACTGTTGGGCTTTTTCCTGACCTCAGTAATAATAAGTTTGAGATAATTATTACTATCATGTTCAACCAGATAAGCATGTCTCTATTTTTCTTTCTATCAACAAAAACCTGTTGTCTAGACTGACATGACATTTGTGTCTGTTGCCTGTAGGGCCTATCGTTTAGGAGGATGGTTTTGGTGACCAGGGGCTTGTGTTCTTAATTCAATGGGATGAAAACAATAAAACGACTATTTTTAATTATCACATCAAGGTTCAAAACAAATGGACCTTAGAGAAATTCCCATCACCAAGTGAGCCCATGAAAGAGGTTTAGTTGCCTATTTGAAAGTTTGCCTGAGCATGTGATTTCCAAGCAACGAGAATTTAGGTGTTGGCTGAGATCTTCTCCTTGGAAACTATGATAATTCTTGGCACAAGCTCATTATTTCTAAGAACCCTAAAAATAAACTACTTAGATAAACACAAAAAATTTAAAGGACAACCTAAAGCTAAGGCAACTCTGAGGCCAATAGGAGGCCACTCCTTCAGACAGTGAGAGGTGATTATGTCATCTAATGTATAGAAACCAACACAGAGAATAAAGAAAAGGGAATATCCAGGAATGTGTTCCAAATGAAAGAATGAGAAGAGACCACAAACAGAGATATTAATGAAATGTACATAAGTGATCAAAATGTTGACATCTGCAAAGCCCTTCCTAAAGTGGAACCAGACAGTCAGTATGGTGTAATTGCATGATCTGTTTCCTGGAATTGCATTATAGACATCTAGCCTGTGCCAAAATAAAATTTTTTGAGAAAATATCAAGCAAACATGTTTGAGAATTCATCCAGATCATGAGCACTGATATTATGGACTTTCAGCCGAAGGACAGAATAGGTCAACTTCCCTTTTTATCCTTTCTAAAGAATAAGTTGCCAATTGTGTATAGTCAAGAAATTTGCTAAAACTAATCAATGCTCTTTTTTTTAACCATCTAACTTATCTTCCTCTATTTTTCCTCTGAAAATCCCTGATATTAATCCACTTGGGACATGTTTTAAGTTTGTACCTGTACCCATGTACCTTTCATTGCAACTCTTTAATCCCAAATAAATATGATTTTTGTTATTTCCTCTTAATGATTTTAAGTTGACAATGATGTATTTGTAAATAGTTAAAAATAATAGTCAAATAATTGTCTCTCCATGTATAGAGTATAGAGGAGTATAAACTCAAAGTAGAGAGGATCAAAAAAAATTGATAATTTCAATGATGAGATAGGAAATAAAAGTAGAAAAAACTTAGCAATAAAGAATTAAATAGACCAACATTCAAATTCTAAGTTTTCTGGAAGTCAAAGAAAGAGAAAGGGAAGGTGATGAAAAGTTATCATAAATCATAATGGCTGAACACATTTCCTAATCTCAGGAAAGAAACAACACTAGGAAGGGTATTTTGTATGATAATCTCTTGGTATTAACATTGTGATAGAAATGAAATGTCAATAACTGGCACAGAGTGAAGACTTGCTATTATAATGGTATTGTGGGAAGGTAGTTGAAAGACAAAATCCTTCCCTGTCATTTGTTCTGTTTTACTTGCAAATATTATGAGGGCATAGTACATGCCATGGTACTGATGTTATCAGAAAGGATTATATTTTAATAGTAACCTTAAGCAGGTAATTGATAAAGTATGAAGGCATCATGCAATTTTGACTTATCAGTAATTGAGGTTTTTTTTTTTTTCTTTCTCTAAATCTTTTGGAATTAGCCTGTTATAGTTCAAGGTACTATTCAGATAAAGAATGGCCAGGGTTCACCAAGCTATTTCCATGTACCCGAACCAGACACAATGACAGAATTTGAGGCGAGAAGAGAATATCAAAAGGAGTGAATCTGAAACAACCAGAACAACGAAAAATTTCATATGCAACACTATTCATGAGACAGAAAAACAACTTTGCATTTTATGGAATAAACCTGTATTTTATGGCTTTTTGAGTGCTACTTGTTATTTTTCTGAATGGAATATTTTCTACCTATCAACTGGGCTGAATTTATCTGGAATCTGAGTTGCATTAACATTTATTTTGAATCATGTGTATGACCTTTTAAAAAAGGTTCAGTTATTGATATGATTAGGCAAATTAGCTCTCTTCCACTATCAATAAATTTTTTCTCTTCATATAAAGAAAATATTATAAATTATCAAAAATAAAGCAGGACAATCCAATGAAGCTGCTAGATCCAGCTGTCTTCTGGATTGAGTTTGTCATGCATAATAAAGGAGCCAAGCACTGTGCCCAGCCTCCCATGACCTCACTTGGGCCCATTAGCACTCCTTGGATGTGATTGGGTTCTTGCTGGCCTGTGTGGCAACTGCTATATATTCATCATAAAATGCTGTCTGTTTTGTTGCTAGAATATTGTCAGAACAGGAAAGGAAAAAGGGAATAGTTGTTTCTGAGTCCTGAAGCTGGTGGGCCTCACAGATGAGGTTCCTCTGGTGTTTCCATAAGAAGTTGTGGTATAAGGGTTCCTTTCTCTTATTATAATTGCTTCTTAAAATTTCACTTCTCAAATCAAGACTTTTCTCCAAGAGATTTATCACCTAATTAAGAGTTAAAGATATGCCATTCAAAAGAGAAAATACCAGGGAAGAATAAAACAAAAATAAAGCTAAGTGCATATAAAATGAACTATGTTATTCTAATTAAAAATTCTACCAAAAACTACTGGATCAATTAATTTTCAAGCATTGTGTATGGGTACAGAAATATTTCATATTCTATAAACAATATCAGTTTTATTTTGAGAATAGAAAATTTACCTTATTTAGGTACAGGGCATTTGTAGTTTTGAATTTTACTATAGAATCATTTAAATAGAATTGTGAAAAAGATATACTCTTCAACTTATTTTTCAAAAATACTGTTGGGCTATTTTCCAGCCTCAGTAATATCTTTTACCTATATCTTTGCAAGATATTGCCTTCATCCATTTGAAGTCATTTCTCAGTGTAATATATTGAATATAGAAGTATAGAAACTGCTGCCCACTTCCTCTTATAAATAAAATATTTTATAAATAAAATGTCATGGAAGATTTTAGTTCTCTAATCTGTTCTCTTAAACTCTCAGTCCTACAAAGCTTTCCATCCCGTTGCATTCACTCACATTTTTAGTAGTAATAGAGGGTGTAAGGTATCAACTATAGGTTGTAACAATACAGAATCTTTACAATGAGGCTTACTGATAGTTAATTCTTTTCATATTTTCCATATGCCTGCTTTTATCAAACCAAGGCACAGCTTCTCTCAGCTACTTAATGACATAGTAAGCTACTCAATGGTCTTGTTGAAGGAAGTTTGAGATAATTATTACTATCATGTTTAACAAGATAAGTATGTCTCTATTTCTCTATCCACAAAAACCTGTTGTCTAGTCTAAAATGACATTTGTGTCTCTTGCCTATATTGCATATATTTTAGTAGGACTTCTTGGTGACCAGTGAAATTGTGTTTTTGGTTCAATGGGATGAAAACAATACAACAACGATTTTTAATTATCATATCAAGGTTCAAATAAATGGAGTTTAGAGAAACTCCCATCACCCAGTTATCCCATGAAAGAGGCTTAGTAGCATATTTAAAAGCTTTTGCCTGAGTGTGTTATTTTGCCAACCAGAACTTAGGTCCTGGCTGAGATCTTTTTCCTTGGAGACATTGATAAATCTTGGCACAAACTAGCTATATCTAGGAACCCTAAAAATAAAATGCACCACATAGATAATCACAAAAATTTAAAGGACAACCTAAAGCTAAGGCAGCTCTAAGGTTGAATCCAATAGGAGGCAACTCCTTCAAGACAGTGAGAGGTGATTATATCATCTAATGTATAGAAACCAACACAGAGAATTAAGAAAAAGGAATATACAGGAATATTTTCCAAATGAAAGAATGAGAAAGCTACAATGATATTAATGAAATGTACATAAGTGATCAAAATCTTGACATCTGTGAAGCCATTCTTTTTTTTAAAAACAGCATTGAGGAACACTTTTTCTTTTTTCTTTAAGATTTATTTATACAAGCACTGGGTATGGTCAGAAGCGCGGGAGGGTGAGAGAATTCACCAGAGCCAGAGCGGGGAGCAGAGCAGGCAGACTGACGAAATACACTGCTGAGGGGAGCAGCGGGTGGCAGGAGAGGTCTGCACGCCATGTGGGACCCTCGCTGGGAGCCGGGATCTAACCGTTGCTGCAGAGGCTGCAGGCAGCTTCGCAGCCCAGCGCTCAATCGCTGCGCCACCAGGGGAGGCCCTGTGAAGCCATTCTTAAAGTGGAATCAGACTGTCGTTATGGAGAATTGCATTATCGGTTTCCTTGAACTGAATTAAAGACATATAGCCAGTGCCATAATAAGTTGCTTTAAGAAGGTATCAAGCAGGGCCTCCCCGCTGGCGCAGCGGTTGAGAGCTGGGTTGCGAAGCTGCCCGCAGCCTCTGCAGCGCCGGTTCCTTCCCCGGCTGCTCCCC